TCCATTACCATCCCTCCATCCAGGGCCCATGAACCACATCACATGGAGGAGAATTTCAATCAGGCCTGCATCTCCCTTAGGACACCAGCGCCGGAAGGCTGCCTTGTCAGAGTCTGTTCAGCAAGCCAGGCTTGTCCCTTTCCATTGCCAGAATCTGGCCGCACACATCTTTCCTTTTTTGACTAAGAGCATTGCTTGGGAATTATTACATTGCAAGAGTAAACAATAGCACATATCGTTTAACAGTAATAGGGAACATGCCATGGTTGAGCCTGGTGCCTGGTCAAGGTTCACATGAGGGTGTTCCATTTGTAAGTTAGCACCCTACAAATTGTCCCACCCAGTGCAGATCCTGCAGGCTTTCACAGGACATTTGAAGAAACAGGTTATTTTACAAGCTTCATTAGTACTGGGGCTGGTTTAACTAGGCAGATGAAGCTTTTTTTTTTAAACCAGGCTAGGAAGCCCTAGGAGCCCTTGTGGCTCTGCCGTCATGCTCTGGTTTTTAAGTAAATGTCTTTTGGAAACTTAGGAGCCAAAAAAAGAGAAAGAGAGAGAGAAAGAAAAAGCACTTCTCCTCCAAGGTCCAGAAACTAAAATCAGGCCTGGGTAGCTCTGTCAGGTTCAGGGTGTGTCTAAATTTGAAGGGATGTTTGCTTCTGATATGAACATTTTTCTTATACTTTTATTATAGAAGATGATGTGTCAAATGTACAAATAATGTGTGCCTGGTGCCAGAAAGTGGGAATCAAGCGCTATTCCCTGAGTATGGGAAGTGAGGTGAAAAGCTTCTGCAGCGAGAAGTGCTTTGCGGCCTGCCGACGAGCCTACTTCAAGAGAAATAAGGTAAGAGCACCGGAGAGAGAGGCGGCCCCCCGCAGGCCTCACCAGCCCACACACGCATGTGCCACGTAGCTTCTAGCGGAAAACACTGCGCACCTTTTACTTTTATATTTTTATTCTTTCTGTTTTGTTGATTCCCCTTTTGTGTCATGCTTAACCTTTTGGAATAAGGAATCCCCTTCTAATGTGTTTCTCTTGGCTTAGTGTTTGTGTTCTGAGAGGGTGAATGAATCTGATGAGGACACTGTGATCACAGCTGGTATCCTCATGGCCAGTGTCTTTCCAGCAGTAGAGTGCAGACTGCACTCTGAGTCCATGAAAGATAAGTGGTAGATACTCCTTATAAAAGCCAAGTAATTAGCCACAAAAGCATGGCCAGAAAGTTTTAGCCCACTTAGTTTAATTCTTGTACCCAGTGGAAATAGTGCTATTGCTCTTTTCAAAATCTGGCTCACGAGTTCTTGTCAAGAAAAATGTTAAATCTCTCTTGACATCTTACGTTAAAACTGATTGATATTGAGAAAAAATGAAATCATGAATACATGAAACAACATTGCTCACACAGCCAAGCATTTGTGAGAAGCATGGTGGGTAAACACAGGAACAGCCATCATTAGAATTTTTTTTTGTTTTATTTTAAAGACATCCCAGGTCTGAAAATGTCCTTTTTGAATAGTGTTAGCCACCATGGATGGGAAATGGAATGCATGATATTTTTACGATCACACACACATGCACACAACTATTTTCTGAATCCTTAAAGAACTGCTGTAGCCTTTGCCACCAACTACTGAGGTAACTTGCTAGTCCTCAATTATTTTCCATTGATATGTAAAGCTTCCTTAATTCATAAAATCTTTACTAAAATTGTCCACATTTTGTTGTATCCATTTCTATAATACAAGATCCAAATCTGTTCTTTCTTGAAGCAAACAATTATTATTTTTCTAAAAGTGTGATATTTGCAATCCCGAAATGCTAATTATGGGCTCACTGCATTGCAAGAAGCACTGTTGCAGCAAATTATCTCCTGCAAATTTGGGTCACATTCATTCTGCCAAAAAACATAATGCCGAAAGAATTAGGCTGCAGAATTCAGCGGGGTGGAATTTTAGTAGCAGTCTCTAAGAGTTAGGCTCATAATCTTCACTGGAACAGAGAGGCAAGTAAGGAAATTGTTTGGAATTCTTCTGGGACTGTCAGCAGTCAAGTTCACTTTCCCCCGGGAGGAGCCAGTGAATCTGGGGAGGAGGGTGGGAAGAAAATGGGAGACACATTTTGTTTTAATATAGGGGGATTAAAATGATCTCCGAGACCCTGGGGCTCCCGTTTTGAATGCTGAGCACTGGAGTAACAACCCCAGGAGTGGGCCCAGTGCTTTCTTCTTCAAAGCCCTACTTACCACAACAAAATACTTTGCATTCCATCGCAGAAGATGGCTATAGAACAGGGCTTTTTGTCTTTGTATAATTCTGAAGGTTATGGGTCTGAATCTTGATGGGCTGCCTGTAGGGACTAAAATCGAGCAAGACGGATTTGTCACAATCCTGGTGATACATGTTATATTTTGCAAACTGTATTTTATAGTGAGCCTTTGAAGAAAGGCACCTGATTCCATTTGGAAAAACACTCCAGAATACCATATCTATATCTATATTGTTTACATCATTATAAAGTTTAAGGTCAAACTGAATTTAAGCTTTCATAGTGTACATTTTTGGAAAATGGATAACTGGGAGCCAGAATAGGAGTTAGCATTTGGAATACTTACAGCAGGTAAAGTCAGCAGTGGGAGGAAGCCCATCACATTTCACTTTCTACCAGGAGTTACTGGGGTATATCTTTGAACATCTTGCTAAACCTGGAAGTTGCAGTGGTTTGGTGTTTAGCCAGTGACTTTGCCAGCTGATCTCAGTTGTCTATTAGTGTACAAACAATTCCTGCCTTCTCTGTAGTCTTCATCCTTCCTTATATGTCCCAAAGCTCTGACATGCTATGCCTTCTTGTGTGTTTTTTTTCCCAAATAGAGAAATAAACTAGTCATATCACTTGCTGGCTTTTTTTTTTTAATTTTAAAGAGTGTTATCTCTGTTACAATATTATATTGTATTACAATAAACATGTACAGCTGCTGCATTTCTGTTAACTGATAGGATTTTGTGGTCATTTTATTTAGGGCTTGGGTTTCCTAATGGATTGTATCAGATACCAGTCTCCATCCTGCCATTTCTAAGAACTGCTTGTAATAAGCCCCTGGGTGTTCCGTACTGAAGACAATAGCAAATAGCTACTTCTCCTCTTGTATCATTTAACAAAGTCCTTAGTCCTTGTTAATTAATTATGGACTTTCTTAATCTTAGAAAAAGGGCAAAATTCTTCCCATTCCTACATAACAGATTTTTTTTCTGGCTAAATTCTACCTTTTTTAAGTATTGAGAAGTGGATAGGAAACAGAGTGAATAATGTGTGTGCGCAGAACAGAATTTTGCCTTAGGTATAGTGTAGACTTAAAACCATAAAATTAACTGTGCTGTAAATTATGCTTTATAATGACAGCCCGCTTCTTGCTGGATAGCATGCTGGGATCTAAAAATGGTCTCCAAGTTGAACCCAAATTGCATGCATAACTTTACAAAGAAAAATCCTAGTAGAAAAGGTAGCTAATTAGGAGCAGTATTCAGCTGACCTCTGTTTTGTGTCTGAGCAACACCTGCATTTGTGAATGTAAATTGGACAGCTGTGCTTGTGGTCTCTGTGCGTTTCTCTTCACACACGCTTGGGTGTAGAGTCAGGAATTGATTTGCTGCTAAAAACAAGGACAAAAATAACCCAACTCTCAAAATGATGGCCCACTGAAAATGGGCTCTTTAAATTTCATTTGCCTGTCAATTCTTCATTTCTCTTTGGGTTTTTCTGTCTGTTTAATGGGGTGGGTTGAAAGTGTCACATACATCTCTCACAGATTGTCAGTATGCAATAAGGTGGGATGGATTGAAGCCAGGTTAACCTATATAGTATATAGGTTATATTTTTAACTGAATTTAAATTTTTATTTGAAGAGTTGTCTGGATTGCTACAAATATTAGGCTTTCTTCAAAGTACTTCTGCTCAACACTGCCAGGAGAGGACCATGAATCACAGCTGTATTCACTTAAGGACTCTAACTACTAGTTTACACATTTCAGAATGTTGGCTTAAGAAATGGATAGTGATAATTCATAATATATTTTGTAGGATCCTTATCCCCGAAGGCTTATTTGCTGGCTTAAAATTTTTGAAACAGTGGGTAAGAAAAATACTTGTGTAGTCTGTGGGCAATGTATGACAATGGGATGTAAATCTCATTATTTCATGTGTTAGAGACTTTTCAGGGAACTAATAGCTCACTCTTTTCCCAGCCTGTTTTTGGACCTGAGAGCATTTCTGTCCTTGTGATTCACCTAGGAACTGGAAAGTTGCAGAGACTCCTTAGTGATTTTGCACTCTTGTAGAAACATTTAGTTCAACTTGCTAACACCAGTTTTACTTTACATAGTAATACACACTTAAAAATTCTCTTCCCTAAGGGAGTAATGTCTTGTAACCATTATCCCTCTAAAAAGGAGTAACAAACAAGACCGCAAATATTAGTCACTTCCAAATGGCCTGTGTTTGATCTCTTTCCTTTTACATGGGAAATATCTTATTGTCCAAACTAATATCCAAAAATCAGGAAGGAAATCAAAAGTCAAGACAAACGGCCACTGCAGGTAATGTAAAGGATGATTGTTTACTTTTCTTGTTCAGATCTCAAGTTTTTAGTGTTCTTTGTGGATTAGGAATGTTGATAATTTACAAGTAAACACAAATTCCTAAGAGCACCAAAGTTTTGCTTCCTTGTTCTAGTTTTTCTCATAATTTGAAAGGCCGGGTGCCATGGCTCATGCCTGTAATCCCAGCACTTTGGGAGGTGGAGGTAGGAGGATTGTTTGAGCCCAGGAGTTTAAGACCAGCCTAGGCAATAGAGCGAGACCCTGTCTACAAAACATGCAAAAATTAGCTGGGTGTGATGGTGCTCACCTGTAGTCCCAGTTACTCAGGAGGCTGAGATGGGAGGATTGCTTAGCCCAGGAGACTGGGGCTGCAGTGAGCCATGACTGGGCCATTGTACTCCTGCCTGGGCAACAAAGCAAGACCCTATCTCAAAAAAAAAAAAAAAAGATTGAAATACTTCTTCAATAGCATAATATTGTTGTTCCCCAGCAGTCCATAGTGGGAAGAAACCAATGTGGCTCAGAGATGAGGACAAGGATGCATTAAAAAGAAAAAGATGATATAGACAGAAACAACATTTGCAAATGATGCCATTAAGATTTCCTAACAATCATTATTATAATAACATAAATATTCAAGGAGGACAATATTGTATTATTAGCACTTCTTTTACTTTCAAACTATATTCTTGGTTATACAGTGATCTCTTCTTAGAAGAGATTTCTTTTGGAAGAACCCATCTCTAATTAGCATGTATCATCATGTTATTTGGAGTCTATTTTATTTAGACATAGTCTATTTGTCTTTTTATTAAAGTTGAATATATCCTGGGAAAGATTTCTCAGTTTCAGACTTAATTATAGAACCAAGTAGTGCAGAAGAAATGTGTAACAATTGCCATGTTAATCTAGTGATTAACCTGTCTACTCTTTTTCCTTTAAATACCTGCAAGATTTAATTTGCAAAATGGCTATCATTCTTGAAGGCTTGGAGAAGGACATTAAGAAATAACTTGCAATTAATGTCCCCTGACCACCTGAAGCTCAGGCCACAGACTTGCTTTTGCCAGTTGCTTGCAAATATCCTTGGTCCACAACTAAATGCACCCGGGGAGCCCCAGGGTTCTTCCTGTGGATTCCCCTTGGTTTTGACAGCCACCAGTGAGCCTCCTGGATCTGTCCAGCTGCACCCTGGCCTGCAGGATGATTGCTTGGTTTTGCAGTGTCCCTTAGTACTGTGCTATAAGCCTATCCACTGCCTCATGTGTATAGTGGCTTCTCCTCCCAGGGATTTAGTCTGCAGGCCAGTGGCTGAGCTCCCTTTCAGTCATAGCAGACAGAGGTGTTCTCAGAAAGCTCTGGGGAAAGAACAACAAACCCAAGTGTTTGTTATTCTCTTGTATTTTGAAATACAGAATGGAATATTGGTGAGCTGCTGCAAATGGGAGGCTGGAGAAAGCAATCACAGAGGAGGGGTAAACGTCAGTCCTTGGAAACACATTTGGGAGTAGGGTTAGAGCAGGAAAGTTCTGGCTAGTGAGGTAAAGTGTAGGTCCATATAAAGTTTGACACACAGGCTCTTGAGGAGAGCCAGAAAGTGTTCCAAGGCAGAGGTTCTGCAGACAGAGTGGGACACAGTACTCTAGAAAGCCATCAGAAGCTTGGGGAGAGGCATGTGACCTCATATTCACCAAAACACTTGAAAACCACTTGAGAAACTCTGGTCTAAGGGATACCTGGAACACAGCATGGGACAAGCGGGTTTGTACTGAAAGGAACAGCAACCACTTCTAGTTTTTAATGAGCCACATGTTGGGAGACTATGAAGGAAACAGCAATAATTCTAACCCATTAGCCAGAATGGACATCTGTTTCTGAATAACATTAGATATTTTAGATTAAATGTGAAGAGGTGATCAAAACTCTAAATAGCTTCAAGCCCCAGTCTGTGTTCAACATTTTTCAGTGAACGGAAGGAAGAGAGAGACTTTTTCATAAATCAGAATCTGGTCACCTGGGGATCAATACACAGGGCTATTGACGTATATGTCGGAATGTTAATTTTCAGACATAGTACATCTCTGGCCATCCTGGTGACGGCTAATGCTATTCACCTAAATCAAGTTTTTTCTCATCTGAACTGCTGGTAATTATCCAATCCATCTAAAAGGCACGCTCCCTTTTAACATTAACCACAGTGTCAGATTGCATCAGCCACATTGTGTTCTGGTGACTGCTTCTGCAGAGTGATGAATGTGCGTGTTTGGAGTTCATAGTCCGACTCTCTGTTTGGGCAGTGGGCAGTTCAGTGAAACAAATGATCAGGAAAGGATCTATTTATTTGGGACGAGCGTTCTCCTTATCGATCCAGTCACTTAACATTTCCCGCTCTCTCACCTTGCCACTAACAGTGTTCAGCTTTATCTGAACAATGAACATTTAAAGAATTATCTTAATAGATCATTTTGATGTGATTCTCTGATCATAAGCTGCATTCAGCACAGAGTTCCTCTTTGTGCCTGACTTAAAAAGGAAGGTGTTGTGAGACCTTATTAATAAAAACCAGAGGAGGGAGAAGGTTCTGAGAGTGCTTGGTGAACTGTCCTAAGAAACCAAGAGATAATGATTATTCATTTTCCTGGAATAGTAGTAATACTCTGTTGATTCAGTGCTTTGTTAAAAATGTTAAGTATCTGAATAAGTGCATGCATAAAAGGGCAGGTGACTTGCCTTGAGATATTTTAAGGTAGTAGATTGAGTCCTGAATTTTTCTCATACACCTTTGCAATGTCTGGTCACAATGCCTAGTATACTCGAGAGGCCCCATGGGGGATCCAAGCTATAGATATGCCTGTGGTTATTTTAATTTCTCCTCCATTTCAATATCTCTGGATAGCTTTTGTACACATAAGCAGAAGTGTGAACTGGCCAAGCCATGTGTAATTCTTTGTTCCTTGGGCTCTTTGCTCTTTGTTTATATTATCACAGATTAGAATGAAATAAAGAAAATCTTGCTACAAATAGGCACTTAATTTCTGTCCTAGCAGTTGAGACTGAGAATGGGAAATTCCCTATGTTACAATCCACTCTTAGGGTGGCTGTGCACACAGTAGAATCTAATGTCTACTGACAGACTGCCTTTGGAGGTTACAAACATCAGTCTATTGCATTCTCTGTAAACACAGGCTGTGGGCCAGAGCTGGACTCCACTACAAGCTCTGTGAGGCAGATCAATGGTTTAATGAATCCATAAAGATGCTTGAACTCTGCTGCAATTTACTGAGCACTCTAGTTAAATGAAACTCCTGTAGTCTTTAACAAAGATAGCGATAATCGATGGTGGGGGATGGAAGTCCATGTCCAGCAGTCACAACCTCCCAGAATTTGTGTTGTCTCATTGCTAACAGAGGGTTAGTCACATTCAGGCTCTGAGGCTCACTGTGTCTGTGTTGATATTTGCTCAATGTTTGAGAGCTGAATTTGGCCCAGAGATGACATAATCTTAGTAATGTTGCTTCTGCGAGGACTATTTTTAAACTATGAAATATTATTTAAAATAAATTTCTTTAAAGTGACAAGATTAAGCTCAAGAATTATATTTGTTCTAACAGGTAGTGTCTTTGTAAGTCATTCCCATGATGAAAAGTAAATAGCGGAATAAAATTCATTCCTGATTAAGTCCTCAAAATGTCAAATTGCATAGTGTTGGAGAGCCCTGATTAATTTTTCCATGGTAAAATATTCCTCATTAGTTTGCTATGGTTGAGGGTTAACCACTCCTATTATAAATTCAGACATTAATGTATTTTCTGCTTAATTCATCTTCGAATAGAGGAAAATATAGTTAGTAGATATGAATTTTTTACTTCCAAATGTGCTTTGGAAACATTATACTGATTTATGAGAGAGCTTTGGAGGCATATATTCTAATTCCTTCATAAATATGTTGAAATGTATTTAAAAGTATTTAACCACCTTTGATTGTAGAAAAACAAGTGCCTTGACTTTGAAATGATTATTTTTCCACAGAAATAGTAGAAGTTATGACATAATTCAAAGATTTTGCATCTGATTTTTGTCACAGAAACTTAAACTTTCTTAATGTTTAACTTTCTTGATTAGCTGATTAGCATTAATTAATCTCACTCCAATAACTATATTTTGGAGGTTCCATGGGTAATAGGAATTTTGAGATATTATGACTGCTAATTTTCACTGGCCCTTTGCCAAACATTCCATGATAAAGCAGTGATTTTTATATGGATCTCATTAATGATATGTTATCTTGTAATCTGTTTTGATAGGATGATTTCATACTATTTAAAATATGGTGAGCATTTTTATGACCGCACATCTAAATCTTTGATATAAGGAGAATCTTTGAAGGACGTGACACTTTCTGTGATAATCTGTAGGACTGTATGTTTCATAAGTGGAGCAATATAAGTTGATATCAAAGAAAAAGGGGAGTTTGCCTGATAGGAAATAAGTACCTCCCTACAGCTTTTTGTTTGTTTTTAGTCACAGTTAAAAGAAATCTTGTTATTTAATCATCCATTCATTCTTTAAAAAATAAAATAAAAAGATATATTGAGCCCGTGTACGACACTAAGCGTGTTTTAGTCTTGGTGGATAGACTTTTGAACAAGAGAAAAAGTCCCTGTCTTAAAGGGACTTACACTCTGGCGGGGGAGATAGATGATATATACAGGCTTAAAAATATCTTTGTAATATAATTTCAGGTAGGAAAAAGTGCTATGAAAAAAAAGCAGACTAAGGGAGAGGCTCGTGAGGGGCTGCTGTTTTATATCTGAGGACCACAGGAGTTATTTTTGAGGAGGTGACGTGTGCTGGGGACAGAAGGAAGTGACGGAGCTAGCTGTGTGTGAGGAGCTGGCAGCAGAGTGTCCTGTGGAGAAGGGGGAGTAAGTGAGAAACAGAGGTCCTAAGGCAGGAACAGTCTTGGCATTTTTGAATAGCAGCAAGAAGTACAGATGTCTGGAGCGGAATGATCAAGGTGGTGAGAAGCCAAATGACGTAGGCTGGAGAGGCAGTAGTTTGGAGTTCATTCTAAGTGTGATGGCAGCTATTGGAAGCTGTTGAGCAGGATGGGAGATATGATCTGATTTTTGTTGTTGATTGGGCCTCTGTGAAGGAAGTAACACGTTTAGGATCCCGTATGCAAGGGGGATTTGGAGAGTAAGAAAGGCAACAGCATTCGCATCAAAGTTGGGTGTGTCTGGCAATAGAAAACTAAAAATATCTTGTTCACTGAATTATTCATTAGTAGTTATGAAACATTTCCCAGTAGCAAAAGTGTGTTGAACCAATTTAGTTTTTTGTGTGTGTGTTTTGTTTTTTTTTGTGTGTGTTGTGTGTTTTGGGGGGGCAAGGTGTGGGAGGAAAGACATCAGGGAGGGATACTGTTCTTACTAAGTGTTCTGACACAGCAATTTTCTTTCTATAGGGCAGGTGGGGCTTGTCCCCAATCTGGTAGAGAGGTTAGGGCCTCAGAAGGCAAACTCCATGCAGAATCTAACTCTTGCTCTGGGAGACCTACAGCATCCGCGGCCTTCTCAAGCCCTAGCCTTAGAGGTAGCATTATGGTAAAGAGATGGTAGTCTTGAGGGGACCATCTTTGGCTAAAGGGATTATTTTGAAGTCTGTTTTATTCTGAGAGTGGGTATAGTTTGGTGATTACTTGTAGGGTGTGTCAGGATTTTTAATACAAGTAACAGAAGACCTCAACAATAAAAGACATCATTTGGAGTTATAAAGTCCTAAGCTAGTATGTACTTTGGGGCAGGTTGATTCAGCAGCACAGTGGTCTTATCACGGTCCCATTTCTTTCCATCTCTGTGTTCTTCCATATAGAGTGTTGGCCACATTCCATGGCAAGCTCCCCAGTGGTTATGGGACAGCTGCTAGCAGCAGTCAGGGCTACACACTTTCTTGTTGACATGCTCTGGAATGAGTGTCTCTGTCCTAGCATTCCAAAAAAGAGTCTTGAAATTCATACTCGTTGTCTATGCTTACATTACATGCTCATACCTGAACTGGGGGCGCTATGACGAGAGAGAGCAATGGAATGTCTAGCGTGAGCCAATCAGGGCTTCCCTCTGAAATTCAGGTTGAGCTCATTTTCCTCTGAAGCCCATGGGCAGCATGGGGAGGGGTAGCTACCAGAATGAAAGTCAGGAAACTGTTAGGGAGGGGACCAGAGTGATGGCTGATGGGAGATGCCAGCAAATGCCCACAAGAGAGAGAGAGAGATGATTTCCTGAGGTTATTTCATGAAGTTGAATTCTTTACACAATGGATGTGTCATACCTGTCTACTCTTGACATGTGGGAGAAATAATCCAAAGTGGATTGAAAGATAAAAATGTGGTTAGCATTCTTCATAGGGTCCTTAGATGAACCACCTCTTCTACCCAGCACCAGCTGTTTTGAGAAACCTGATTATTAGAACACTGGCTCTAGTATCAGGACTGATGTGATCACTGTTTCCACTCTTTTTGGACTTTAGAACATGAGATTGCACAGAACTAAAACAAAGGGATTGTGGCTAGCTGTTATCCCCATTTATGAAGAGGAACAGTGGTGCCATTACAGCAGCAGATAGCCCAGAATATAGTTTCCTCAGTGTAAGTGGCCTAGGAGAGGCTGGCCAAGGGCTGTATTGGATGTGGGGAGCTAGATGCTTTGAAGTAGAAGTCTGATGGGATGAGGCTGCTGTTACCCATCAAGAGTTAGCTGGTCCAGCTCAGAGTCGCTGCCACCATGGCTAGTCAGTCGCAGGGGATTCAGTAGCTGCTGCTGGCCGAGAAGCGGGCAGCCGAGAAGGTGTCCGAGGCCCGCAAAAGAAAGAACCGGAGGCTGAAGCAGGCCAAAGAAGCAGCTCAGGCTGAAATTGAACAGTACCGCCTGCAGAGGGAGAAAGAATTCAAGGCCAAGGAAGCTGCGGCACTGGGATTCCATGGCAGTTGCTGCACTGAAGTGGAGAAGGAGACCCAGGAGAAGATGACCATCCTCCAGACCTACTTCCAGCAGAACAGGGATGAAGTCTTGGATAACCTCTTGGCTTTTGTCTGTGACATTCGGCCAGAAAGCCATGAAAACTACCGCATAAATGGATAGAAGAAGAGAGAACACCTGTTCTGTGGAGTGGCATTTTAGATGCCCTCATGAATATGAAACTTTAGCACAGCTCTAGTTATATTCTTATGAAATGGCATTAAATTATTTCCATATATTATATAGTAGGTCCTTCCACTTTTTGGACAGTAGCAAATCTAACTTTTTTGTACAGACTTAGAAATTATCCAAAGATTTCATCTTTTTACCTCATATTTCTTAGGAATTTAATGGGTATATGTTATCTTTTTTTCCTATGCCTTTTGGCTCAAGCAACATGCATATTACTGTTGACTTTTTCTTTCTTAGATATAGTTTAAAAAAAAAAACCACCACATAACCATTCTTTTAAGAAAGGAAGGGATTAAATATTTTTTTTTTTCCCCTAACACTTTCTTGAAGGTCAGGGGCTTTATCTATGAAAAAGTAGTAACTAGTTCTTTGTAACCTGTGTGAAGCAGCAGCCAGCCTTAACGTAGTCCATTCTTGCTAATGGTTAGAACAGTGAATACTAGTGGAATTATTTGAGCTACATTTAGTTTCTCTTAATCAAAATTACTAGATGATAGAATTCAAGAACTTGTTACATGTTATTACTTGGTGTATCAGTAATCATTTAAAAGTAAAGACTCTGTCATGCCAAAAAAAAAAAAAAAAAAAGGAAAAAAAGAGTTAGCTGGTCCACACATTGAAGCTACTTTCTTTGTGGCTGAAAACTGTGTCTGCTAAACAGAAGGAAAAGAGAAGTATTCAGCAGAATTGTGATACAGTCTGAGGCTAAATGCTTCAAGTTCAGGTGGCCAAAGGAGTAGAAGTATTGAAGATTGCAGCTTTCACCATTATTAATTATTTATTTATTCATTCAACAAATATTTGTTGAACAGTAACTATGGGAGTTGCAGTGGCCAACAAAACCTGGTCCTTGCCCTCTTGAATCTTATGGTCCATTGAGGGACAGAAGTTTATTTAAATAATAACACAAATGTGAAATTGTCACTGTGGCAAGTGCCTTGATAGTACTGGGCACAGTCCCATGAGAACCTTTTTCAGGGTGAGTTGACTTGTCAGAAGATCTTGAGGCTTCCCTGAGTAAGTGGGACTAGCACTGAAATCTGAAGGATAAAGAGGTGTTAAGTAAGGAAAGAGAGAAGGAAGAGCTTTTTGGGCTGAGGGCACCGCAGTGTGATTTCTAATTTTGGCACTGATTTGCTCTTTCTTTGCTAATTTCATGTTCTTTATGGAGGAATGGTCCTTTACCCACAAACAAGAAAACAAATTGAGCAAACAGATATTACCTGGAATGATAACCCCATTCATCCATTTGTTTGCAAATTCCTCCCTCCCTCCCCACCTACCTCCCTCTTTCTTTCTTTCTTTCTTTCTTTCTTTCTTTCTTTCTTTCTTTCTCTCTCTCTCTCTCTCTCTCTCTCTCTCTCTTTCTTTCTTTCTCTTTCTTTCTCTTTCTTTCTTTTTCTTTCTTTCTTTCTTTCTACCAATCCTTGGGGATTCATTGCTTGCCTGCTGGCCTCTGCCTGCTCTGACTTTTTGATCAGCTTCATGGACTATAGAGTTAGCACATTAATACTAAATCACTTCAGAGAGTATACAGCTTGTAACTCTTGAAGATAGAAGCATTTTATAAATACATCATAATACTGTAATAATCACAGTGATAACTATAAGAGCTTAAGTGTTTTTAACTATCAAATGTACTAGAAAAGCAACAATGACAACAGAGAAAAGATTGTGCAAAAATGCACTGATTTGAGAGAGGAGAATAGTGTAATTACTGTCTGATGAATGTGGTTGACAGATAAATGAGATAACTCACTTTTTGCTGGAAAGAGCCACAGAAAGGGCAGATACCCTCATCCCCACTAGGTGTGGTGAAGAGATGTAGTTTTGTTATATATAGAGAACTACGTAATTATGTTAACATTAATGCAAGGGCAGACAGAAAGTTTGGGTAATGATGAATTCCAGGACAGAGAACTGCTGATTGACACTCAGGTCCCTACGCAAGACAATTGTGATAAAATGGAAACAGAACAGCATGTTTGCTGGCATAGCAACAGAGGGTGATTTTTGTGGTGCAGTGGTGTGGCGGGAAGGAAGGGATTCTCCTCCCTTTCTTTGTATTCTTTGTTTCAGCCTTGCGTCTAATTTTAGTACCTAAAATCATGATGACAACTCTATAGAAATGTAGTGACAAATAAATAGGCAGGTGAGTAATTTAGATTTTATCTTCCTGGGTCTTACCTGGGTGATGTGGACATGGATATTCCTAATGAGAGGAATCTGAATCTCTCTTCAGGATGCCAAATGGGAGAGATGACCCTTTTAAGGCTACCCACACTTTTTCCTGCCTCAGGTGACTGTGAACCCGGGACTTCTAGTTCAGCTGGAGTCAGCAGCCCCTCTCCAGTTCTAGTACCTCCTGAAAGCCACACATAATGACAGTCATTTCCAAAAGAGGCTGATTTTAAAACTGTGCTGAAAATGGCTAACAGCAGGCTGAAGGTTAAAGTAAAAAACTTAAAAACCATAAAATCTGCCTGGAGGCTATTTAAGCAAACTGTTTTAGAGGCACAGATGGTTCATATACCTCTGAGCCAAAAACAAAAAGGAAAAAGGGGACAGTAAAGCTGGCGTGATTAAGCAGACAAGTATGAAAGTTTTATTAGTACTAAAAAGGCATCCTTTAGAAAGTAAAAGAATCTGTCTCAGGAAATTCGGAAGATATATTAAAGACCAATGGGAAATGAAGAGGGCACATAGATGACATTTTGGAAAGCAACCAAAGATAGTGAAGACACACAATGTACGCATGGACACTGGATATCAGAAGCTATGCTCTGAGGACCTTAGGAAGCAGTGTAAGAGAAAGATACCGTATATGGACAGTTGGGAGTAGCTTCCCTGTCCTGTGTCTGTGATGTAGAGCAGGTTTTATAAGGATTTTGTACAACTTAAACAATGGTTTGAATCTCCAAGGAAAATCAGTTGAAGCAAATTTGAGAAGCTTAAGTGCCATAAATCAGAGAATCCAAAACATATTAAGGAAATAAAGTACGACGTTGCTGATAGCATTAAAAATAGCACTTATACTTGAGAGTGGAGAAGTCACTGGGGTGCAAGGGCATCCAGCCTCTCGAGGGTCTGCTTTGTTGCATCCTGGATGCAGTCCTCCAAGTATCTTCCCATGAGCGTGCAGGTACCTGCACTCATGTGCACAACGAAAGCCTCTGGATTTGAGATGGGTGAGTGTCCATTATCATAATTTTGAGAAAAGCCAGACTCTAAGGAATGACAGAATAGTACAAAGTTTGCAGGGTCACTATATGAGGAGCCTCCTTTGAGGGGAAAAAAAAAACCAAAAAACAAAAAACAGTATTTATGTCTTGAGTTAGCATTTGATACAAACCTAAATAAAAATGACCAAATATAGCCTTGCAAAAAAGTAAGGTAAGTTGTTTGGATTTTCAAAAATCCAAGTAATTCATTTAGAGTTTGGCTGACTGCCCCCGAAGAGACCCTTGAGGAACATAAACAACCGAAGACAAGAAATAAGGCCCCGCCTTGGATTAAGAACCTGGGGAAGGAGTGGATGATATTCCTCAGAGTAGAGAAATTAATAGTGTACCATCCCAGGGGTTTATATTAGGAGTAGTGTCCCTTGGTAATACTGATGGCTTATTTGGCAGTAGATGACAGGAAGGAGGGAACATTCCCTGCTTTCTCGTAGTTGCTTTCATTTGAAAAACCGCAGAGAATTACCTTCTCCCCAAAAAGAAACCCTTACAAATATATACATATAATGAGGTAACCTGACATCAGATGCAATTCCATTCACTCAGCCATCAGCGAGCACAAGGGAACAAAACGTTTTAATCCTCACGTCCCTGATATGGGCTGACTCTCAGCATCCCCAGAGAGGAGAACTTGGTCCCATCTGTAGGGGGCTCATTGTGTTGCCTGCCTAGAGTAAAAAAATTAACGTTTAAATGTTTGACTACATTAAAGACAATTTTTTAAAGCAGACAAAAGTACGTCAAACAATATGCTGATAATCAAGCTATGTCCCTTCTCACAGGAAACGTGTAGTTCATTCTTCTTGAACCTGATTTTTATAAAAGGCTAATGCTGAACTTTAAAAGAGTTGACACAGAGGATTAAATGTATTTTTATTATACTGCAGGCTATACAAATATAGGATACAAAAGCCTGAAAAGGTATATTGTTGAGGACAAAAGAACTAATAATAAAACTAAAGAATTGATAAATGTAAATGTAATCAAAGTGTATTCAGTCTCAACACTCAGGGGTAACCTTTGCAGTTGGCCACAATGGGGAAAGACTGGATCAGACTCCATGGCAGATGGTTTAATACATAGTGCATATATTAATCCATGGAGGCAGCCCTGGAAATGCAAGCAGGTTGTTAATGATCACAGATAGCAGTTGTGAGCTGCTCCTGGTCTTGCAGTTAGGTGTTCAGATGTCATGCTTCGAGGTCCAAGTTGATGGGTTTCTAGGTTGGGAAAATATTTTCCCCCTTCTATTGCACTGCACAGCTGATAAGGCATGCTTCAGGGAAGGAGTGATTTAGACTATTGCAGGTGAAGGGAAGGGAGAGAAGGTAGACTTACAACCCAGTCCCATGATTTAGTTTGATGACTTCTTACTTCTAGTTAAAGTAGTACCATTGAGAGCTCATTGAGTATGAGGGATTTGTGAATCAAATGTAAAGGAAGCAGACACCACTGCTATAAATCCAGTAAAACTACAAATCTGACATCAAGTCAATACTGCTTACCAACAACAACAAAAGGAATCCCCAATCTCATGGCCTACTGGCATCAGAGAAAACTATGTACGAATAATATAATTTTCTTTTTCTGTGTTTTTTTTTTTTTTTTTTTTGAGAGAGAGAGTCTTGCTCTGTTGCTCAGACTGGAGTGCAGTGGCGCGATCTCAGCTCACTGCAAGCTCCGCCTCCTGGATTCATGCCATTCTCCTGCCTCAGCCTCCCGAGTAGCTGGGACTATGGGTGCCCGCCACCATACTCAGCTACTTTTTTGTATTTTTAGTAGAGCTGGGGTTTCACCATGTTAGCCAGGATGGTCTTGATCTCCTGACCTCGTGATCCGCCCGCCTCGGCCTCCCAAAGTCCTGGGATTACAGGTGTGAACCACCGCGCCTGGCCAACCAATAATATGCTTTTCAGCTTTCTTTATTATGAATTATTTAATAAGTAGAAAAGAATATTGAGCTCCCAAATTTCAGCATATTCAAAGTTGACTTAAAGAGTGAATTAAGGGCTAGGTGCAAAGGCTCACATCTGTAACACCAGCACTTTGGGAGGCTGAGGTGGGAGGATCACTTGAGGCCAGGAGTTCATGACCAGCCCGGACAACATAGCAAGACCCTGTTCTACAAAATATAAAAAAAAAATTAGCCAGGTGTGATGGTGCACACCTGTCGTCTCAGCTACTAGGGAGGCTGAGGTAGGAGAATTGCTTGAGCCAGGAGTTTGAGGTTGCAGTGAGCTGTGATTGTGCTACTGCACTCCAGCCTGGGTGACAGAGCAAGACCTTATTTTCTAAAAAACAAATAAAAAAATTAAAAAGTTGAATTAAAAACAGATAAACCGGCCAGGC